AAATTGTTCCAAAGCAAATAAAAAATTATTCTCAATGATTATTTAGTTTCTTCTAAGAAAAATGTTAATAGCTGCATTCTTTTGCAACCGAGCTGCAAAAGAGCACTCGGTAAAGTATCGAGTTACATTCAAAGCAACAACACAAACTCGGCTATTTATCCGAGTTCAACTAGGTCGGTTAAAAAATATGGGACTTGAAGCGTGGTGTTTTTAAGTGAAAAAATTGCTCTATTGTGAATTGTTTATAGGAAAATAATTAGATAAATTTTTGTTTCTTTATAAGTATATGTATATGATTAAAACGAAAATACCTCCAAATATTACTCATTTTCATTATGAGTTGATGGACAATTCCGGTTAATTACTCATTTTCATTCGTTTTTGTTATAAATCCCATGCAACTAATCACATGTTTCTTTCCAGATACCAACAGGGTTTGTTAAAAGGCAAAAATGAAATTTTACCCGAGTTGAGCGTTTTTTTGCCGCTCATTTACAAAGAAATGCAGCTAATATTGTCCTACAAACGCAGGAGAATGGAAAATGGCAGAAGTACATTTGTAGGTTTGCCATTTCTTGGCGCATGGAGTCTATTTTGGGTTCTAACACAAAACCTGAACAATGCAAGCCACATATGTATTTATGTGGACAGAATTATCTTTAAGTCTAAATGTACCGACAGTTGAATCGCGTCTAGTTACTCAACGCTTTCGTTCACCCAAAGCCCACCTTACTGTTTTTACTTTCAATTCAACTCTTACTTTTTAATTATGCATTGCCATCGCAACTAGTTTAGCAACTTTAATTGATAAATCAAAAGCACACTTTGCGCTGCAAGTTAAAAAGATTTAAATATCCTTTGCAGCAATCACCGAGCCACACTTCCTACAACTACAGCTAATAGTCGTTTGACAGGCAAATTGCAACGTACATACATATATGAGTATACAAACAACTAAATACTCATGCAACACCATAAAACAACATTAAACGAAGAAACAAGAAAAAAGAAAATAAAAAACTAAAAACAATTTTGTTAAATTTTGCATCAATCTGGTTTTGCGGGTTCTTTACCATAAAATTTTGAGCTCGCAGCGCCTGATTCATTGCTTTGCAGCCGAACGATAATCGATACAAAAGAGTCATAAAGCAAAAAAAAGTGAGTTGATAAATAAAAATGAAAATAAAAGCGTTCGTTGTATGGCACCGGTTTTTTTTGAAAAACTGTTAATACTTCGTGCGAGATCTGCGTTTATGGCCAACCAAATGACCAACTTGTTTCGTGAGTTTTTATGTCATATTCGATTGTTTTTTCTTTTTCTATTTACATATTGATTGTTGGTAATATATTATCTATTTTTTTCATAAGTATAGACCTGTTAATGACTTCTTTGTTGCTAGAAGCAGAAAGTGAAATGAAAAGTGAAATTATATGAATTTGATAAACATTTTTTAGTTTAGTACATTATTTAAAATATTCACTTATGTATGTCGGTAAAAAATTGAATTGCTTCAAAAATGGCGGTCATAACATTTTCCACTTCTAGCCTAAGGTTACGTTATAAATAAATATTCTAAAATTTTAATTCTTTTGATGAAAAAATAATTGTGAAATTCGCATTTCTTTTCTTGTTCGCCTCCATTTCTAGACAAAGCAGCGGTTGATTTTTTGTTTTTCTTGCGCATGCGTGCGTACGCCCACTCAACCGCAAATACTTACTCTACCATGAAAGAATAACAAACAGACAAAACAAATATATAAATATATGCTTCTGTGCGTAAGTAGTTTATTAGTCCCTTTCATTCGTCATATTCGAGTATATACATTAGACCGTACCACCTTACAAGCACACAAAAAAAAAACGTTCACGCACACCTCTTAGTCTAAAGTTGTTGCAAGGAAATTTCGAAAACATTTCTTTTGCGGAACATTTTTTGGTGGTACCTACACTCGGCAATAAATTTTTTTTTTTAATTAGTTCTACTGGAATACTATTTTTGGATAGCTTTAGCCTACTGGCATTAGGGTGGTACGTTAGGGCGCTAGGTGGGTAAGTAATAGAACGGGATACTTGAAGGCAATGAGCTTTGAAAGCAAAAATGTTTCTCCTTGAGACAAAAACATCGCTACATCATACTTTAAGGTCCGAGGACATGAAAAAAATATAAAAAGGCAACTCCTAACTGCATTCGGCCAAAAAATAAAAAATTGTTTTTTTTTTCGAAATAGCTTTGCAAAAATATATTAAACTTTTTTCCGGTACGGTCTAATGTACACATACAAATGTATGTATATTTGTTTTGCCACTTTTATTACAAAATTTAATATACTTAAGTATTTTTCTCACAAAAAAAATTTAGTTATGTTGTAATTTCAAGTTTACTACAAGTATTGTGTGAATTGTAGTGGAAAAAATTCGTGCAAAAAGCTACAACACTACATATACTAAGTGTGTAGATTTTTATGCTATTAACCAGCTAATTTGCGCTTCCGTCTTCAAAACGATTTCACAGCAAAAAATAATAATTTTTAATGTGAACTAATTTATCAAGTTTGTTTTAAAGTTCTATGCTCAAGAAACAATGTTTTGCTTAATTGAAGCTTTAATGAATTTGTTACACGCATAACTTTTGTATAAATATTTATACAAAATACACGTGCTTAAGTAAAAAATGAGAATTTCGTAAGCTGGTCGTGTGTCAAATTATTAGAATGCAAAGTTTTTTAAGTAAACTTAAACAAACCGCATATTGAACTTCTGTTTATATTGTTCGAAAGCAAAAAAAGAAAATGTATTTTGAGTGTAGATTTCCCTCCTATTTAGAACTCGCTTGTGTAGTCGTTCAAGGATAAGTTCAATAAAAATAAGTTAACAGTAAAAACAAATATTTTTAAAGCAAAGTTGAACGAAATCGGACTATAAATACTGGTTTACCAAATATCTCGACCCCTGCGCCATCTATTGGATTACCTCATCTTTCGCATTGCATTGCCATCGGATTTTGAGCCAACTGTGAAATTTCAGGTATCACTAGGTCATTGGGAAGTTGGTCAAAAGTTGATAGCAAAATTTGCCCCAAACAAACATACTTACATACATACATACAGAGCAAGTTAAATAAAAGCTTATAAAAATGTTTGTCTTGTCACAAAAACGGAGTGACCTGCAAGTTAAGCTTATTATAGATGCTACTTTTATTTTGGTTATGAGTTTTTGGCTAACGAAACGACTAGCGCAAGCTTTCTTATGAATGAAGAAGAAAATGTTAATGATAACCAGGATAGCAATCTAAGAAATACCTGAAAAAACACTTATTTTTCATATATATGACGGTTCTGTTGTTTTGTGCATGTATTTTACATATGTATTTATGTGCATGTTTTTTTTCATATAAGTATGGCAAAAATATCGTGCATTTTGATGATAACTTTTGCAATTTTTCACGACTTACATATGTTTTTATCAAGAAGTTATTCTAGTTCTGCAAGAAGTTCCTGGGATATTGATATACTTTGCATGGTCAGATTCAAATAAATATTATTCTATAGAACCAAAAGGAAAAAACATTTACGCTAATGTTGATTGCCCGTGAGCCAGCAGCTATAAAGCCAGAAAGAAAATCATTAATGAGAGTATATTTGGAAAATTTAAATGAGTGCGGCACGTTCTTCTTTCTTAGCCTGAGTGTCGAAATTGTTGGTGCGGCTCTCCAAAATACTAGATTAACAGCCATGGGTGCAAAAACAGGTACGAGACTTGTAATTCAAACCATCAAAGTACTCTGTGCTGATACATAATTTTATAGAATTTTCGGAATGGTTATGGATGACGGATATCAAATATCCTTTTGAGCCTAGAAAATTGCTCATCGCTTAGAGAAAACTGATTGTCCTAAGTCCAGAGTGAGATCATTATCGGTGTCGAAAAGACTACGTCGAAGTTTTGGACTTAGGTACTTTCAAAAGAATTAGAAGAAAGATTTGATCAAGAAGGTATGCAAAGGAAATAATTTCACAAAAATTATAAAAAAAAGAAAAATATTTCTATGTAGATACATATATGTATGTATATGGATGTTCTTGCAGGGAACGTAACACCTACAACTTTTATTAAAAAAAAGCGCTCGTTAACAGTTGTTTTTTTGACTTTTACTTTATTTTATTAATTCAAAATAACAATTATTTTTCATTTTTATCTAAATGTTCTGCAAATGACAGTTATTTTTGATTTTTAAATTATATGTCTCAGATAACAGTTATCGAAGTCTTTTATTTATAAAAGTCATAAATAAAAATCAGTCATTGACCTTTATTTTTTAAATCTAACTTATAAAAGTCATTTGTATAAGTCGTAGTAAACGTTTGTTTCCCAACACTTTTTTAAGTGCTAAAAATTTTAACGACTTTTATACGAATGATTTAAAAAATAAAAGTCAGTGACTGATTTATATTGATGACTTCAATAAATAAAAGTCTTCAATATTTGTTATTTAAGACATATAATATAAAAATCAAAAATAATTGTTATTTTGGATTTATTATATAAAAATTAAAAATAATTGTTTTTTATTTTAACGTTGCATAAAAATTGCAAATAAAAATTTATTTTCAAATTTGAGTCTCGGTAAAGAAAGAAATCAATTGGTATGTATCACTTAGTGTAACCCCCCACAAAAAATTCATAGCAACACCCGTCGCCGCATCATAAAATAACTTACACCCAGAGCTTGAAAAAATTGAGATTTATTATTTTCTATCAAACCAAATTGATAAAAATGAATGCAAAACATAAAGTGCTTCACATACGAAACGGAAACGTGCCGAAATTAATGGAGTGCAACTATACGATAGGCCTTTTTTAAATATGTACATTCATTTATGTAAATACATATATATACAATGCATACATACATACATGCATACTTGCATACAAAAATTTCCAAATCATTCACTTTCCATTACTCTCCAAATAACTGTCTAACTAAATATATATAACTTACCTTGACAGTTGGCAACGGCCAATGAAGAAATCAACAGCAGTGCAACTGACAGCTGAAGAAATGTCCGCGAAAATCCTATACGGTGCGTGGACATTTGACGCGTACTGAGAGCGGCAGCAACGGTGATTACTTTTCCACGCTTGTTGTCAGGATTTGTGAAAATTTCGACAAAGTCGAAATAAAAATTATTCAAGTTTTTGTGAAAAATTGGTGTCATTTTGTCGCTGTTACGGTTAATGAGAGATTGTCAGAGGAGAGAGGCTTGTTGTTGCAGGCAATCGATAGCTGTGGCGTGGGCTTTGTTTTTCACTTTTCTCACTAAGGTGCTGCAGCAGCTGTCGCATTTACCTTTCGAATACACAAACTGCAAAATGTTGTTGAACTTCTTTTGCATGTAAATGCTGTATGTGCATATGTATGTATATATGTAGGTGATGTGCCGCGTCGCTTTGATCCCACAAAGCGCTGTTTTTTTGTGACGACTAACTATGGCGTTGGCGCCACTGCCACACTCAAATACTAGTGCAAATATTTTCGAGTTATTTTTTGTTTGGTTTGCTAGTTAGCTTAGCTAGAGCTGCTGTTTTGTTTTTTGCGTGCCGCGCTTGTGGACAACACTCGGTGCAGTTGCTGTGTTTTTTTTTTCTTTTTGAATTTTAGGCTTTCGGTTATACAGCTGGTCTGCACGTTTCGTTGGTAAATCACTTGCCGCTATTAAATACAATTACAATCGTTATTTTCGTTTGTTTGTTGTTTTGTTTGTGTTTTCCCATTTCTTGGTTAACTCAAATTTTAGTTGCCGTCGACGATTATGTGAGCAACGTTGGCTGGGCTGTTGCTTTTGGCGCTCGCCTAAACATTTTCAGCCATTCACCAGCGTATTTCAAATGCTCGTGTGTGATCGGGCGCGTAATTAATTTTACTAACTTGTATTTTATTTTGTTTAATGTTTGTTTTTTTTTTTTTACAAAAATTATTGTTTTATTTTTTCCATAAATTTGTTTCACTTCGCTTGCTGTTACATCTGCAATGCATACATACAAACATTCAAGGCTATATACCTTTGAAGATATAACAATAAAGTCTCGCGGAATGCGTGTTTAAATTTTCGCATGCAAAAACTGCATAATTTTAATGTATTTACTAAATGCAAGGGAATTGAATAGTTATTAAATCATGTTTGCTTGCACTTTTGAATACAATTGCCAGTCGCGCTGCAATGTGAAAATTTCTCAAACTTTGCATTGTACAATAATTCAAGAGAAGTTCGCGCCTTAAGTCTTTCGATTTGTTGTGTGATCTGTCAAGAGACTAATGAATTTACAGGCGTTAAATTTTTAAATATTTCCCCACGCTTTCTATGGCACCTGCAACTTTGAGTGACAGCTTTATGCTTCACAAAAAGCGAATTGTTGTATGACAGCAAAATTTACAATACAAAGAGATAAAATATGGTTTCCAATATATAAAAAACAAAATTCTTAGTAACAATCATAAATTGTTTTCAAGATTTTTTTTTTCAATACTGGGAAAGTACATGCATATTTTGAAGAAAACAAAACATGATTTACCACTCTGGGCATCATATTAAAAACCCAAAAAAAAAAAAACATTTATTTTTGCAAGTCCAGGTTGCAATTTCATGCCTCTAATACTTCTTCCAACAAAGTCGCAAAACAAATCCTAACGGCTTGAAAAATTTGTACTTCGCGCTCGCATTTTTAAAAAGGATTTTCCAATGTATGTTATGATGTTGTCAGACTAAAGAAAGCTACGTGCACTTCGGAGATCATTACGAATTAATTCCCAAAAATACGGCCTAAATAATATAAAGTGTTTAATTGATTGCACATCATCTTGCTCCTGCCAGCTGCAGCGGGAGAGTACAGATAAGATTTCTAGCCTTACTGCGTGAATGCCAATCAGGTAATAACCTGTGAAAATTAATTTCTTAAATTTTCCATGTTGGCAATTTTAAAGGTTTTTTTTTTATTTGAAGTTGGCGGTCGCGCTCAAAGAAACACGAATTCATAGAAACATTTCTGCTATTTTCTTTTGGCTTGTTGATGTTTCCGACAGAGTAGGAATTTGATGTAATGTAGGCGGTTGTCCGTCGTCCTTTACAAAATTTGGTTTGGATATAAACAGTACGAAGAGTGACACTAAAGATTGCAGAATGCCAACCAAATTTGATAAAGGATGACGGAAAATCGCTCCCAATACATAACTTCGACTATCCTTTTAGAGCAGGATGTGCCCTGAAGTTGAATGGACGTGCAAACACCAAATACATTTAAACTTTGCCATTGTAATTCACACACTCCCTATCATAAGCAAGACAACAACAGAATCTACGTTGAAGATAACTGTCGCCAATCTGTGCCAACAAAGTATGCGAAAGTGTTGCTGCTTTCACTGCTGCCACTTGGGTATACGCAAAGGAAACAATAACAAAATGTGAAAAAGACAAAACTGTTTATGTATTTTGTATCACTTAGTGAGAAGTACTGTGTATGTAAGTGTAGCTGTAAATACGGTGAAGGTTCTGACTGCTGTTAGCATTATTTGAAGAGCAGCGAGCTCCTATTTTACGAGGTTTAGGTTGAAGTCCTTTTTTTTTGTATCCAGTTTACAAAGTATTCTGCTCCCTTTAAAGGCTTTATTTTATGCGAAATTTTATGTCAATGAAATCAAGATACTTCTCATAGTTTATGAGCCGTTCGGCTTTAAATTTTGTATGTATCTCTAATCTAAAAAAGTAACTGAAAGAACAAGACTATAAGTAAACCTCATTTAACTTTTAGAGGTGACGTAGAATTGTCAGACAACAACAAGGACCACAAAATATGTACATATATTCAAAAAAAAACAGGTCGTTCAGTTTTTATTCTGCAACATATTTAATACGATTTGTTTCATTTTTTTACTAATATCAATTTAGACGCAATTTGAAGCTAAGATAGTCGCCATTGAAATTTCAAAGTAATAAAGCAAGTTTTGTGAGTTCGCTACCCAATTTGTAATGCAAGTTTAAATTTTTGGCTTTAAAAGCGAAAATAATGAAAATTTTTAAAATTTCTTTTCAAAATTTGTCTACTTCTTTAAAACTCCAAATGTTGGTTTCTCAGTTGGTATTTAATCTTAAACGAAAGACTCAAATAACAAGCTTTTAAAATTAACCAAAGTTAGTTAAATAGTAAATCCCGGATTAAGGGCACGGCCGACGGGGTCGCGGCCCAGGGCTTCCACATGTGATAACGGAAGAACAAAAAAATAATTTTTTAAAGATTACACAAAAGAGCGCTGGGTATTAAGATGATTTGTCAGCGCCATCAATACCACTTGCGGAACTTAGCTTAGCTTCTTCTGCCTCTGGTGAGATTCTCGACTAACCCATTAATGGAAATTCCTCTGGGACCCTGGAGCTAATAGATCAGAATGACCTCCGGAAATATAAAAAATTTACGGAAATAAGGAACGTGAATTATTTATTAATAACCTGCGAGGAAATAACAACTTTGAGGGGTGAGATAATACTGGCAGAAATAATAATCCGGATTAAAAAGACAAAATATTCGTACTATTCCATCTCTGTTCCTAAACGTTCCTTTGGTCAGTCGTTTAACACTACATGCAACAGGAGCGGCAAGTACAAAGGAATTCAGGCGAGAATTTCAAAAGAAAACATGTGGGTAAAAGTCAACAATTAACGATACTGTTAAAATTAAAATATAATATTTTTTTCTCAATAAATTCTGTGTTCGTATGGAAAAGTAGCTTATGTCGAAAGGCTGGCTTTAGTATAAATCGGCATTCACAGCATGTGATTGCGAATGACTAACTGGCGCTTAGCCTTTGAACAATTTTTGGCAAATAAATATGCAAGAAATAGTTCCGATACTTTCTTTTCTATTCTTCTTAAGACTCATCGAAAAATTCCTTGTCGTTTAAAACATAAAGGGAATGCCGCATTAAACTAAAGTCAGCCTTTCGACATAAGCTACTTTTCCATACCAACACAGAATTGTATGTAATTACTAACTCAAAAAGGGCCCAACTTATATAACCGCTTCGGATCCCCACATTCTTAATCCGGCCCTGAGTAAATCATACATAAGTCGACTTAGGCCAAAGTGGTGGAACCGTGAGCAAAGTTCGAAAACTTGTATCAATGGATGTACAAAGATGGTTAATCTACGATTTCAGTCAACGCAAAGTTTATCAAAACACTGTAAAGATGGAAAGATATGCAATAGACAGGGACCGAAATGGTTGATCTTTATAAGAAATTACATACTTCAACCGCTAAAATTGGGTTTCTATTTTATTTATTTTATTATATTTATTTATTCAAGGATTCAAACACAACAACCATCGATAAATTTCGATATATGTATTGGGTTTATATTTTTTCGATCATATGATTATCGTTATTTTCAGATTTAATTTTTTTTCTATCATAAAATATTTCAATGTTTATAAAAACTCGGTCTTCATTTTAAGGATTAAAAATGATGGAAAAAATCCAAAATAACGATTATTTTTTATCGAAAAAAATGACAAAATCACGATTCAATTTGATCGATAAAATAAATATCCATAAACGATTATTCTTGACCGAAAAAATAAAAACAAAAGCAAATCTTGTAATTTTTATAAAAAAAAAAATAACCTATTCAACGCTCATATAAAAATTTAGAATTACCGTTAGTTTCTTCATGATCCAATGGTCTTCGTTTTTTTGAACTTAGTGAAAAAATAACAATTTTTCAATGATTAAACAAATACATTTTTTTTATTATTTAATGGTTATTTGCAGTTCCTACGATAGACCACTAATAACCCCTCAATGGGTTATTCGGGAAGTATGCCGGAACAAATTGAGAATAAACTTGTATTTAAAGAATAGAGATCGTATAAAATAAGATTATTTTCCAAACGTTTCTAAAGTTTACTTCTAACTATAGACAGACACAAGGGAATTGCAATTTCGACTATAAAACGACTGTTTCTATACAAAGAGGTTTAATGCAGGTATTCTTTGAAATATGCAGAATCTCCGACTCCATAACTAAAGAGATCTGCTTTGGCAGAGACCTTAAAGTGAAAAGTCTAGATCTCGTCTAGTGTAAGCGTCAAATATTTTTATTTTTTTTATGACTCATAGTGTTCTTAACTTGCGCAAATTAAACCTCGAAAAGGGTTGGAAGTGCGCATGTCTAGTCAGATAGACAGGCAGGCATCCGGGCCTTCCGAAACAGGATAATAAAATCCAAACTTGACATCTACTACTTGACTACTAGATCACTGCAGGATCGAAGGCGATGAGGTCGCTGACGAGTTGGCGCGAGAAGGATCTTTGACTGCCTTTTTAGGGCCGGAACTATTTTTTGGTCTCAGGTTCGGCTCTTCGAGGACTATTTTTAGAGCTAAAATAGACCTTTCAGGTCGCACTGTCTCCTCTACTGGTATACCCATGCTTTTAACTAACTAATTGACTAAAATTGTAAAACACGCGCATTTATTATTAGCCACATTTCCTCCAGTATGACATTTTGTACAGCATTCATTCGAAATTGTGCTCCCCTGCGGTATATCAGTTTTCCAAAATATATAAAAAATATTACTGACCTTATAGTCGTGCAACGTACCTTATGTATTTCATTAAAAATCTAAATTGCTTTAATTAAATAATGTTTACTTAAGTAATACATTTTTTTAAAGTTTGTGCCTTAAGTCTTTCGTTTGGAGTTGTCGAAAACGTCTTGAAAATAAGTATTAAAATATTTTCATAATTTTACAAGGTGTTATAAGCCCTTTTTAATTTATTTCATGTGAAACAATTTTGTTTTCCATTTCCAAACAAGTTTCTAGTTTCTTTATTTTTCGTTAATCCGCTTGTGTGTTTCCTGCTCGCATGTCTACAACTTTACTTCCTTTCACTTTAATGTAGTTTTAAGTTCGACAGCCCACCCCTTCGCCAGCTAGTACCTTATTAAGCATGTTTTCTTCCACAAATTGACCTCGTGTAACTATTTCATAAAAAAAACAAAAACGAGGAAAAAACACGGACAATAAATAATCGCATACGCTCTGCTCATTCCTACATATATATGCAACACACATTCATAATACTTTGGTGTGAATAGGCAAGTTTTTGTGCATTCAATGAATATTTCCAACATCAGATAATTTTCGATTTTATTTATGCCTAGTTTGCTACATATTTTTTTGTTTTTTTTTTTTTTTTGCTTGCCTTAATTTTTATATATTTCTAGCCACGCAACTTGCTCGTATTTTTTTATTGTTCCTTTCATTAACACTTCCAATATAATATAATTGCAATTTTTGTAAATGTACTATGTACACCCACACATACGCAAAATGCTCTCAAAAGCGTCCAACGCGAAGGTGGTTTGGGTATTAATTTGTTACTTTCAAACACAAATATTGTTGGCTTTGCACTTATTTAGCTCACTGTTACATTTTTGTTTTTACAGAAGGTTTTGTGTATTCACATTACTGGCGCAAGTAGTTTGTGTCTGAATATGTCAACCTTTGCACTTAATGTTTTAGCGCAATTTTTTTTTTTTTGGATTTTTTGTTTAGCAGACGTAAATCGCCACGCTATGCATTTATTTAAGTACAAAAAGCGCAAAAATTCAAAATCACTTTAATAATTAGTTCCAAAACATATACTTCTAAGTACCCGCTGATTCCTTGCTTTGCTGGCCATTTACAGAATCATTACCGACATCGGTTAACACTCAAAGCGCTCGCTGCGCATACTCAACACGACCGGATGGATACGTCAGCACGGAATGAAAGTTGAATCGTAACTGGTTGTGCTTACGAGCTCATGAAGTCATAACAACGAGGCCTGTCTCTGTGCGGATAGCGCAAAAGCCACTACCACCAATACCGCGCCGATACAATGGCCACAAACTGGCGTCCACAATTACCAGCAGCGACAGAGTCAGCAACTTTGCCCGTGCGACCACAGCTGCTACCTCAGAGTCTCTGCCTGGCGCGAAGTACAAGTCCACAGCTGAGTGTTGCCAATAGTGGCTACGACGGCTACTGTTGCTAATTCCATGATCATTGCTGCTTTATCTCTTCTTTATTTGTTGCTCGAACTCTGCTGCTGGCGTTGCGGCTGCGCAGTGTGCATTGTTCGTGTTTTTTTTTTTTTGTTTTTAGTCAGGCCTAGTCAGTATCTAAGCTCACCGTTTTCAGTGAAGTTTTTTTCTTTTGTAATGCACTCATTTGTTGGCTTTTATTTAGCTCTTTAAGTGAGAGCAGAGCGCATAAGCGTTGCGAGAGAGCGATTTTTTAATTCTTTTTTTTCGAAGCTGTTTACTTTGCAAACCTCTACGTTGAATGTTGCCTCTGTTTATGTAGCATTTATGTCGCGAATTTCCATAATACAATTGGACTAACAATTAGTTGTGCAGAGTTGCCAGCTTTTTGTGTGTTTCAAGTTGCATTGCGATTTAGTAAAATCGTTTGTCTTCAAGAAAAATTTTCATTATTAACTTTTTGACTTTCGTTGATTTTTCCTATCGAATGAAGCCCTCCATAAACCAACTTCTCAGACCTTCAGCCTTGTAAGTCCACAGTTGACCAGATTTTCACAGTGCATGCACCTGGCATCTCCTCTGCCTTGATTGGGAAGGTGCCTCTTCACGGCTGGTTGATTTCCTCGCTAGGAAAAAGGCAGACGTCAGCGCTACAGAAGAGAAGCAGTCACATGATTTTTATGAAAAAATTACAAAAAATTTTACTTTAAAAACCTTGCAAATATTTTACAAAAGTCATCAGTACTCATGTCTGCTCCCCACTGTAGCTGGACTTCAGGGCAATGGGATATGCCGAAAATTCTGAAAAACTAAAATATAAATGGAGCATTCCATCGTTGGTGCGAACAAATCGTGCGAATTTTTTCAGCTTATGATTCTTATATATAAAACCCGACAAGCAAAATAAACTTAAAGTAGGTGCTTACAAACAGCACATTTTTGTTTTATAAAACGCTTGAAAAAAAATCGTAATATAATCGAAACGGCACCTTTTTTATAAGCGTATGAATAAAAATTTACATGATTTGAAAATGTTGTAATTCTTTTATTTAATTTGCTTTTTTTTCCAAATTTTATTTATGATGGATAAATGCATACAGATGTTCTGGGAACATTTCTGCATCAAAAATAAAATTTTTAAAAAAATGTCGCTGGCGTCTTTTTGGCGATTAGGGCTCGATAAGCTAGTGCAGTTAGTGAGCTTCTCCTACGTTTTGTGGCGTGCGCTTTCATGTTGTCACACGAAGCAAAGGGACCTACAGTTTTATGCCCCCTCCGAACGGCGATTGTATTTTTATGAGAAGCTATTTTTCATGGCCGAAATACACTCGGAGATTTTCCATTGCCTGCCGAGGAAAAACCTTTTTTCTATATTTTTTTGCGTTGCGTTGTGGAAGTGCGCACTGCTAACCACTACACCACAGCGGCCGCACAATGAATACTTTTTATTAAAGTTCCGCGAATCAATTTAGTTTTTGCGTGAAAGGGGACGGTTTCTTGTCTCTGCTTGGGATTCATCAAGAGATGCTCCGACCTTAGCTATCTGGTCAGTCCTTTCATTTCCATGTATGCTCCTGTGGCCGGGAACCCAGATGAAAAACTTATCTATTGGCTCTGCCATCGAGTCTAACGCGCTTGCAAAAATATATGCATATTCAACCCCTACGCAGTTTCTCTCTAATCTTTTCCAAGGCCTCTCGAGTCCCGGAACTGGCATTTGGAGGATGTATAGGCAAAGTTCGGTAGGCGAAACGAGAGGGAGACATTCACTATCTCAGAGAACACCCCTGCGCAGTCCATTTTGGACCCGTCAAAATACATTTCCGGGGAATTCTCCTAAACTATCCAGCCCCGTCTCCGGTCCAGTCTAGAAGGAAACTTCCCCTGAAAGTTATTCGCTAAGCTTGTCAAGAATACCACTCTAACCGTTCTGCAGCTCTCTCAAGCAGCCTGACTCTTGGAGTCTGATTGCCGAGAAAGCAACAATTTCGCGGATGTGGAGTCCAAAGGGCATTTCATACAGGATCACGTTAAGCGCATCAGAAAAACACGACGTAATGGCTTCTGTAGCATCTGTATCGTTTATCTAGTGCTGGCAAGCAAGCTAACGCACCTTAAGTTAGTATTGGTCCGTGTGCATCCTGAGGACAAGCTTTGGCTTTATTCACCAGTTCCTATTGAATATTCTTTTGCATATTTAATAAACTGTATAGGCTTCAAGTACTGTTGCTTCAACATAAATATTTCTAAATGAGTAGAACATAAAGTTCTGTTCACCTCTCCTAGGGTGCGTTAGCTACAAGGAAAGCAGTTATTAACTAATTACTATAACTATTTACATCCATATGCATGGCAACACAGTTACCACACGCACAGTCACTGCATACAATAATTTCAAGGTGCATCTTGAGAAAACATTCTACATATGAGAAAAGACCAATGTAATTAAATGCGCAGGCAAAATGTCAGACACTCATTTGCTAAAATAACTGTCACATCTCAAAATACGATTTTTTTTTGTAGCAGACATGTTTAAATTCCACAATTCGCTCTCACCGTGCAAAGACTGCATCTCGCATATTCTTTTCTCGCGCGGAAGCTAGACTAGAATGAAGCATGGAGTTTTTACATAATACGCAGCATGATACATACTCAACATCAGTAAATCAAATATCTCGCTTTTTGACTTGTGACAATCTTTTCGTAAATACGCGACATGTACGTCCATAAAAAAAAACATTGTGTGCGAGAACTTGTCTAAATATTTAAGTACTTTTTCGCAATCGACCGTTATAGTGTATAAATAGGTATTATTTGTATACGTATTAATATGAAACTTAATTACACTAGTAACGGTTTTTTGCCATTTCATTGTTTGTTATTATATGTACTTTTGTATGTATGTGCATACTACATGCATTTACATTAGCTTGAATCTTAAACAGTCTGTAAGCAATTACATACTTAAAGCCAAACAACTCCAAAGTCAAGCCATTGCATTTGCCTGCATGTGGGAACTAAAAAGTTATTAAATATATATAAACGAGGGGAAGCTGAAAAGTTTTGAGCCTGAGTGCCTTTGATTGTCATTAATGTCTTGTATTCGCTAATATCCTTAGTAGTATATATACCGATGAAAACATTTGAAGAAATGTCGACAGTGTGCAAGAATGATAGAATACAAGATTGCGCCGATCAGAGAGGATTTTTGAGAATAACTTTTGTGTGACGTCACACTGGTGCAATTGCGAGAGAGAAATGCCAAAACGTGAGCAAGAATGGAAGAAGAAGAAAAAATGTTGCAAGGAAAACGTAAACACGTTGCACAAGTGTGACGTCATGCAAACAACGGTTCTGTCAAATTCGTTAAGAGAGGAATAGCGGTCCGAGATCGGCGCAACCTTTGTATTCTCTCAATCGTGGACAGTGTGGACCTTCATTTGCCACCATCAAACGATGGAGTCGAGAATTCAAGCATGGTAAGCAGTCGCTGGAAGCACCCACCATACATTCCAGACCTGTTCCCCAGCGATTACTTACTATTCTCCGATTTGATGAAAAACCAACGCAAATGAAGATTTTCGAGTGAAGAAGAAATGAGGGCGGCAGTAGACTAGCATTTCGAAGACAAATACGGCGAATATTTTTTTTACTGGCCGTTTTGAAAAATGGAAGAATTTCATTAAGGTAGAGGGAGATTATAAAGAAAAATAAAATTTTTATACATATATATAAGCTATATTAATACTTTAGGCTCAAAACTTGTCAGCCTCTCCTCGTATGTACATATGTATACATACATATATGAAAGGGTCACCAGTACGTAAGACATTGCTGCGAATGCTTGCAGATATTTGTTACCAGAATAACCCGTTTGGCAACCAACTAAACCGTTTGGAAGTCACTACAAACAGTTGCTCAGAACTGTTACAACACCAAAGTAACTAGGGCTGAATTTGTAATATAAATACATATGTAATAAGAAAACTCACAAGCTGGGTATACTACGTACATTTGTATGTTTGGACAGAGTAGTACATAGTACGTTAGTGAAGTTGGGATGGTCTAAATGAGGGACACAATTGACTGTTAGTTTATTCTATTTCTTTCTTAGTATATACATAAATACATTAAAAAAATTGTGTGTGTCAAGTAGACGCAATTTATTGCAACATGTTCTTTTAAATAAGGCAATTAAATTTAGAACGAAATAAAGAAATGCTCAATAAAAAAACAATATAAAACACGTTTTGCAGAAGTTATTGCCACATTTGTTTACCTGCAACAATGCGGCCACAACGCCATTCACAATGAAAAATGGAAGATGCGCGCCATTGCAGGCATACTACATACATACATATGTACGTACATATTAGCAATGGAGATACAGGAAAGTCAGAAATTGGGTCACTCGCGTGCCAACGCGCCAATATACAGTGATTCAAGCAAGTGACCACGTATTGATTTTTTCTTAATATTCGAAATGTTCTCGGAGCTAAATTTTTTTGTCATTTTTTATAAAAATACCATTCAAGCTTTACGGAAAACCATATTGACGAAAAAAGACGCTGAAAAAAACCTCGGCGAAGAAAGACGCGTAAACATAGATTTATAACCGCGAAAATAAGTGTACGCGTTTTTCTTCGCCTTCAACTATGTTAAGCGTCTTTTTTCGCCGAGGTTTTTTATGTTAATACTATTTTATACAAAAACGTTATATAAAATTTAGGAAAATTCAACAAACTTTCATCAAAATTTGAACTTTTTAATCTGAATTTTTAGAGAATTTTTGGGTATGCAGTTTTTTAGCCCATACAATTAAGGTATAATGGAGTGCAAGTTTCAACCGGCTAATCGCGTTTATTTTTGATATTTTTTTTTTTTTGCTTTTCGCAGACTGTTTTGCATTGATTTTTTGAAATTTTGTTGCGAACGGTCGCCTGCATTTTATTTCATAAGAAATGCATGCTTAAGGCCTGCTTCCAG